AAAAAAAAAAAAAAAACCCAAAAAAACAAATCTTACCTATTATTGAGTCATGATATGTTCTGTTATGTATAGCAGCAAGTAAAATTAAAATACTTAGCCTAAATATTTATTTTTTTTATTTATTTGTTTGAGATGGAGTTTCCCTCTTTGTTGCCCAGGCTTGGAGTACAGCGACGCGATCTCAGCTCACTGCAACTTCCGCCTCTCCTGTCTCAGCCTCTAGAGTAGCTGGGATTACAGGCACCTGCCACCACTGCCGGCTAATTTTTATATTTTTAGTAGAGATGGGGTTTCACCATGTTGGCCAGGCTGGTCTTGAACTCTTCACCTCAGGTGATCCACCCGCCTTGGCCTCCCAAAGTGCTGGGATTACAGGCCAGAGCCACCAGGCCCAGCCTTACTTAGCCCAACTATTTAAAAGACAAATTAATACCAACTTTTGCTAGATTCCAGAGAATTAACAGAGATGTGTGATTACACACATATCTCCAATATAATTATATAAATTTCACACTTGACAACATACATTCAAATATGTAGAGTACCTACTTATGTGCCAGGTAGTGTGCTGGACATTAGGAATACAGAGATGAAAAAAACATAGTCCAAGCCCTCCAAAAACTGACAGTCTCTAAAGTCTACATAGGTTTTTACGTATCTATGTATGAGTGTGACCAAGTGTCAGTATCTTGATAAGTCGGAGAAAACAGTGGCATTTAAATTACATAAAAATATGATCTTAGTATTTAATATCCTAGGTATTCTCATAACTAGATGGAACATTTCTTTTATATATACCTTAAGATGATGAGCTGTTGTATATAATTTTCCACATCCATCATATTCACATCGAAATGCCTTCTCTCCACTCTGTTGAGATTTAGCAGTTACTCTTGTTGCATGTCCTTGTAAAACAATCTAAATAAAATAAATAGTATTATTTAAATTACTTAAGCCAGGCACAGTGGCTCATGCCAGTAATCCTAGCACTTTGGGAGGCAGAGGTAGGCAGATCGTTTGAGCCCAGGAGTTCAAGGCTAGCTTGGGCAACATGGCAAAACCTTCTCTATATAAAAAAATATTAAAAACTTAGCCAAGTGTGGTGGTGCATCCGTGGTCCCAGGTACTTGGGAAGCTGAGGTGGGAGGATCACCTGAGCCTGGGGAGGTCGAGGTCAAGGCTGCAGTGAGCTGTGATTGCACCACTGCATTCCAGCCTGGGTGATAAAGAACTGTCTCAATAAATAAACAAAAAAATACAAGCTAGGCACTGTCACTCACACCAGTAATCCCAGCACTTTGTGAGGCCGAAGAGGGTGGATCACCTGAGGTCAAGAGTTTGAGACCAGCCTGGCCAACATTCTGAAAGCCCAACTCTACTAAACATATAAAAACTAGCTGCGCATGGTGGCGTGTGCCTGTAATTCCAGCTACTCGGGAGGCAGACAAGAGAATTGCTTGAACCTGGGAGGCAGAGGTTGCAGTGAGCCAAGATCATGCCATTGCACTCCAGCCTGGACAACAGAGCAAGACTCGGTCTCAAAAAAATAAAATAGAATAAAAAATAATAATACAGACATAAAATAGATAAATTATGATTTTCAGAATAAAAAAGATTAAAACTGTTATGTGGGTTTCCAATCTCAGGTCATTACTTTACTAGGACTCTCTCACCCTGAGTCAGTCAGGTTAATTCCATTGCATGGTTGAAGTTAGTGGTTCTGAAAGTACAGTAGTCAAAAGGAGAGTCACAAAAATGCACAGCTGGAGCTCACAGATCTATTCGTAGTCTAGAAAATCAACCCAAGTAGCATGAGATCCTTGTATGCAGGTTTTCCTTGATATACTCAAGTAATCTATCTGCCTGCTTTTTTTAGAACCTCCGTCCTAAAAACACTGTCAAAAGCGTTTTCAATTTCAAAAGCAATGAGAAAGAGGGGATTAGGTCATTTGAGTCACCTACAGGAAACATTACAATCCATATGAAACTAGTCTGTACTTATATTCAATAGAAGATCATTTCTCTGGGATATAATACCATAAAAATCCAAACATTGATTTTTAAAGGCTTTTTATAATAGAAATCAAAATATCGTAAAAATTGAAGAATGACTTTCTATTCTGTGGGCCATGTGGTGATAGTGTTGTAATATCCTATCTCTGCAGACTGTCACATGTGGCATACAATTCTGGGTAATGGTCTACTACAATTACACGCATGCCAGAATGGTAAAAGAAGAGAAAGGAGGAGTTACAGACGCTAGAATAACGGTGTGGGAATTAAAAAGTACCCTGCATTAGATGACAAGAGTACAGAAAACTTTGACTTTCCCTTGTAATATAAATCAACTAAATAACGAGCAGTAGAGTTCTCAATATAATCATTAAATTACAAGCTATTTAGTCATGCTTATACTGTGGTATGCCCATTAAATGTTGCAGACCATAATTTTCTTAATCAAGGTAGATCTGTGTTGATAAAATATTTGTATAAAAGTATGCATAATTCCCAGTGGGCAAAGGGAAAATGTTTATTATAAACTGAAAAGTGCCTATACAAAGAATGATATAATTCCACATCTTCTCTGCTTAGGAGATTCCATCTCCTTACTTCCATAAAGCCTGTTCTCACCATTCAAAACACACATGATTCTTCAATTCCTCAGCATACCTGTAATATTTAGCTTGTATCACTGGTGTGAAACTTGAAACAACTATCTTAAAGATATTTATATTTCCTTCTCTTCCCTATTAGTCTATCAGCTACTTGAAATCAAGGAGTGTGTCTTATATGCCTTCATAACTCACAGTGCTAGGTTCACCCTGAAAATGTCACAAGATTTATAAAAGAATTCATACCACTAAAATATATGAACAGAATCACAAGGAATTTTTCTTTTTAGGGGTATTTTTAAAGTTCTAAAATTAAGATGGTGATAATTGTTCAACTTTTTGAATTTACTAAAAACCACTTAGCTGTACACTCTAAATGGGTATATTTAAACTATGTAGGCTGTGCCAGGCGTGGTGACTCAGGCCTGTACTCCCAGTACTTTGGGAGGCTGACGTGGGTGGATGGATCACCTGAGGTCAAGAGTTTGAGACCAGCCTGACAAACATAGTGAAACTCTGTCTCTACTAAAAATACAAATTAGGTCTGGGAGCAGTGGTTCATGCCTGTAATCCCAGCACTTTGGGAGGCCGAGGTGGGTGGATCATCTGAGGTCAGGAGTTTGAGACCAGCCTGGCCAACATAGCAAAACTCCATCTCTACTAAAAATACAAAAATTAGCCAGGCGTTGTGGCATGTGCTTGTAATCCCAGCTACTAGGGGCGCTGAGGCAGGAGAATCGCTTGAACCCAGGAGATGGAGGTTGCAGTGAGCTGAGATCACGCCACTGCACCTCTAACCTGGGCAACATAGCAAAACTCTGTCTCAAAACAAATAAAAAAACACACAAAACTGGCCAGTCATGGTGGCTCATGCCTGTAATCCCAGCTACTCGGGAGGTTGAGGCAGGAGAATGGCTTGAACCCAGAAGGTGGAGGTTGCAGTGAGCCAAGATCGCACCACTGCGCTCCAGCCTGGGCAGCAAGAGTGAAACACCATCTCGAAATGAATAAATAAATAAATAGCATGTAGGCTGGACACAGTGGCTCAAGCATATAATCCCAGCACTTTTGGAGGCCAAGGAAGGCAGATCATTTGAGCTCAGGAGTTCGAGACTAACCTGGGCAAATGGTGAAACCCCATCTCTACAAAAAAAATGCAAAAAAGTTAGCTGCGTATGGTGGCACCTGCCTATAGTTCCATCTATTAAGGGAACTGAGGTGAGAGGATTGCTTGAGTTTAGGAGGTTAGGCTGCAGCAAGCTGTGTTTGTGCCACTGTACTCCAGCCTGGGTGAGAATGAAATACCTGCCTCAATAAATAAATAAATATTACAGAAATAAAATAGACAAAATTGTGGTGACAAAGTGAGACCCTATCTCAAAAAAAAAAGTATGTAAAATATATCTTTTTTTTTTTTTTTTTTTTTTTTTAAGAGAGAGTCTTGCTCTGTCCCCCAGGCTGGAGTGCAGTGGCATGATCTCAGCTCACTGCAACCTCTGCCTCCCAGGTTCAAATGATTCTCCTGCCTCAGCCTCCTGAGTATCTGGGATTACAGGCAGGTGCCACCATGCCCAGCTAATTTTTGTATTTTTAGTAGAGACGGGATTTCACCATGTTGGCCAGGATGGTCTCCATCTCCTGACCTCATGATCCACCTGCCTCAGCCTCCCAAGTGCTGGGATTACACGAGTGAGCCACCGTGCTGGCCTTTTTTTTTTTTTTTTTTAAAGAGACTGGCATCTTGCTATGTTGTCCACACTAGACTCAAGTTCTTGGGGTCAAGGAATACTCCTGCCTCAGCTTCTTGAATAGCTGGGACTACAGGCATGCACCACTGTGCCCAGCTAGTATGTGAAATATGTCTTAATAAAACTCTAAGAAATGGAAATAAAGGCCGGGCGCGGTGGCTCAAGCCTGTAATCCCAGCACTGTGGGAGGCCGAGGCGGGTGGATCACGAGGTCAAGAGATCAAGACCATCCTGGTCAACACGGTGAAACCCCGTCTCTACTAAAAATACAAAAAATTAGCTGGGCATGGTGGCGCATGCCTGTAATCCCGGCTACTCAGGAGGCTGAGGCAGGAGAATTGCCTGAACCCGGGAGGCGGAGGTTGCGGTGAGCCGAGATCGCGCCATTGCACTCCAGCCTGGGTAACGAGAGCAAAACTCCGTCTCAAAAAAAAAAAAAAAGAAATGGAAATAAAATATAATTGGAATAAAAAGTTTCTTTAGGCCAAATGCAGTGGTTCATACCTATAATTCCAACACTTCAGGAGGGCAGGATGGGAGGATCACTTGACCCTCAGGAGTTTGAGACCAGCATGGGAAACATAGGGGGACCCCTATTTCTATAAAATTTTTTTAAAAACCTAGCTAGGTGTAATAGTGTGTACCTGTGGTCCCAGCTACTTGGGAGGCTGAGGTCAGGAGGATCACCTGAGCCTGGGAGGTCAAGGCTGCAGTAAGCTATGATCACCCCACTGCACTTCAGCTTAAGGGTCAGAATGAGACCCTGTCTCAAAAAAATCAGTTTCTGATTATTTCTCATAAAAACAGAAAAGCCTCTATGAACCCTTTAAAAATCAGCTATTATTTTAATAACTTTTTTTTCATGTATTATAACAGCAACAAATGTATACTGGAGGGATCTGGATACCATAGTGACGAATAAAAAGTTCAGCCAGGCACGGTGGCTCACACCTGTAATCCCAACACTCTGAGAGTCTGAGGCAGGTGGATCACTTGAGCCCAGGAGTTGGAGACCAGCCTGGACAACATGGCAAAACCCCATCTCTACAAAAAATTACAAAAATTAGTTAGGCATGGTGATACGTGCCTGTCATCCCATCTACTTGAGGGGCTGAGGCAGGAGGATTGCTTGAACTCAGGAGGTTGAGGCTGCAGTGAGCCAAGACTGTGCCATTGTGCTCCAGCCTGGGTAACAAATGAGACCTGTCTCAAAAAGAAAAAAAAAAAAAGTTCAAGTGTGCTATAATTCCACCATCCAGGAAAAATTACTGTTAACTTCTTGGTGTACTTCCATTCAGTATTTTTTATTTTTATTTATTTTAAAGACAAGGTCTTACTTTGTCACTGAGGTTAGAGTACAGTAGCATAATCATAGCTCACTGCACCCTCCAACTCTGGGGCTCAAGTGATCCGCTTGCCTCAGCCTCCCAAGTAGTTAGGACAACAGGTGTGTACCACCACACTCAGCTAATTTTTAACAAAAAATTTGTAGAGATGGAGTCCTGTCATGTTGTCTAGGTTGTTCTTGAACTCCTGGCCTCAAGCACTCCTCCTACCT